AAGACTTTTTATACTGAATGAACATAATATTTTGAAATATTTAATAAATTTAGACAGTTATTAAAGTTAACATAAACCAAAATTTTCAAGAGAAAAGAGTCTAGCGATATTTAAGCCATGGTACGTGGAAGGAGCGATATTTAAGCCATGGTACGTGGAAGGAGCACCCCCAGGCAGCCTGCTGGGGACTCATACAATGACCAAAGGGAAAGCAGCCATGGTACGTGGAAGGAGCACCCCCAGGCAGCCTGCTGGGGACTCATACAATGACCAAAGGGAAAGCAGCCATGGTACGTGGAAGGAGCACCCCCAGGCAGCCTGTGGGGGACTCATACAATGGTTCTGCTGCTCTGCACTTTCGTGACTGTGCTCACGTCATTTGTTTGACTTGAGTTTCTCCTCTTATCTAGCATGGTGAATAAAGTGGGAAGAGTAGGTAGGGAGGAGGCAGCTGGCAATGCCATGTGTCTCAGGCAAGGCTGCATGGCATTGCTCTCTGTTCTAGCTTGGTGAGGAGAAGAGGTGAAGGCAAAGGAATTCCAACTGTGTCATTCAAACACGAGAGACAGAGTAGAGTCTGTGGAAAATCTCCCCAGAACCAACACACTTTGGCTGAGGTTCTAGTCCCATAATCTTTAGCACTCTTTGTGTGTGTGTGTGCGTGTGTGTGTCTGTCTGTCTGTCTGTCTTGGAATTGTGAAGTTATTTTCCCTTTCAGGGATATACTTTCTCTGACACAACAAAAAGGGTAAGCATAAAGCCAGGCTAATGGACTTAATTCTCACGTCACTGCATCCTGAGGAGGGAATCTCTTAGATAGACTGAGGCAAGGACAGAGACGGTTAAAGCCTTTTTTTTTTTTATTTTTTTGTTTAAACCGAAAAAGGGGAAATGATGGAGGAAGGTCATTGGTTAAATAAAAAGAAAGTGCTTGGCCCTCATTAGTTAGAAGATAGGTGGGAGGAGTAAACAGAACAGAACGCTGGGAGGAAGAGGAAGTGAGCTCAGACTCCACAACTCTCCTCTCGGGAGCAGAAGCCTCAGAGAGACGCCATGCTCCCAGGCAGACGCACACGATGAAGCTCCGACCCAGGATGAACATAGGCTAGAATCTTCCCGGTAAGCGCACCTAAGGGCGCTACACAGATGACTAGAAATGGGCTAAATTAATATGTGAGAATTAGCCTAGAAGAGGCTAGATAGAAATGGGCCAAGCAGTGATTAAATGAATACAGTTTGTGTGTTGTTATTTCGGGCATAAGCTAGCCAGGCAGCTAGGGTGCTAGGGACGCAGCCCCGCCGCCCTTATTACTACAAGACAGGAACTGACCTGAGCACTGAGTGTGACAGGCAATAAGGGAACTGGAGATGTACAACTCCAGAGTTTACTGCCACCTACCTGGGCCACTGTGACATAATTTGTTATTTGGAAAACACCTTGGTTTTGACTTTCTTCAGGAAGTCAAATGAACCCGACATATGCAAATGACATACTCTGTATATTTAAATATAAACATTTTAAATTTGCATATGTTAATAAAAGGGTTTTTATTTCTGTACTGCGTATTCAGATACACAAGCAATCATGGACTATCTGGCAGCAGTGTAAGGTCTGAACAGCAGGCATACATTTTTCTCTTATCTTATTCCTCAAGAACAGGGACTTGAGACATACAGTCTACTTAACTGTCAGACTTTCTCCAGGAAGAGCTGACTTTTCTACCAGTGTCTTTTTGAAATGTTTCTCATTTAAGAATGTTTCATGAGGGCCTTTCTTTTCATTTTTATTATGTGTGTGTAGATGTGTGGGCAGACATATATGTAAAGATCAGAGGGCAACTTTGTGGAGGGGTGGAGGTGAATGTCTCTCTACAACTCTCCATGGGTCCCACAGATGGAACTTAGTTCAGCAGGCTTGTGTGGCTAGCACCTTAGTATGTGGAACCATCTCACCAGCCCCAGATTTGGTTTCAGTAGGCAGGCAAAATGACTTAGTCTCCTTCTATTGGGAAACTGGACGTGAGTATAGACAGGAATGTGGTGGGGATAGGTGACAGCTGACGCCAGGGCCAGGAGAAGGACCTTGAAAGGAAGTCAGGTTACTTGTAACAAAGGATCCCTACTGCAAACCTCCAATTCTAGGGAACATAACTTGTGTCACGTGCCAGAAACATCGTTCACTGTGAATCAGTTACGGCTGCCATGTACAAAGATTATCTGTATGAAAACAAAACAAACCAAAACAAAAAGCAAAAACAAACCTCTGAGTTGGTAAGCATAGATTTTTGGAATGCTAGCTGAACACACAGGAAATACCTGGCCGCAAATCAGCCATCAAATAAGCACATCTCAGTGACAGTCCCTCAAGCACCCATCTGTGCTGCTCTCCACATGAATACACGAAAACACTTAACCTTTCAAAATTCTGGGCTTTTGGCTCCTCCAACGACCCATTAGTGAGGATTTTTCTCAGTATCTGCAGCCAGTGATCTACACTGCTGCAGAGGTAAATGTGACATTATTGTAACATCACTGTGAACCTACATTACTGAGCTGAAACAGGACACACGCGTTGAACACACTGAGGGATGTGTGTGTGATCAGAGATGTGTGCGTGATCAGGGATGTGTGCGTGATCAGGGATGTGTGCGTGATCAGGGCTGTGTGCGTGATCAGGGCTGTGTGCGTGATCAGGGCTGTGTGCGTGATCAGGGCTGTGTGCGTGATCAGGGATGTGTGCGTGATCAGGGCTGTGTGCGTGATCAGGGCTGTGTGCGTGATCAGGGCTGTGTGCGTGATCAGGGCTGTGTGCGTGATCAGGGCTGTGTGCGTGATCAGGGCTGTGTGCGTGATCAGGGATGTATGCGTGATCAGGGCTGTGTGCGTGATCAGGGCTGTGTGCGTGATCAGGGCTGTGTGCGTGATCAGGGCTGTGTGCGTGATCAGGGCTGTGTACATGATCAGGGATGAGTGCATGATCCCAGACAGAAGACCAAGAAAGGGAAGATGGAAGTGTCCGTCGAGATGACTTAGGAACTTTAACATAGAAACACAAAAAATTATCTGAAGAGGGTCACGGGACTGGCCAAAAGACAGAGAAAAATATAACTTCATGTTTATTGCTAGAAATCCAAAAGGAGCATTTAAGTTTTTTGACTGGTGCTGCTTAATCTACTGACTTTGGAGAAATGAAACAGGTCTTAAGGAAATATAAATGAATGACTATATCAAATCCCCAAGACATACAACTGGCCCAGATTAAATCATGAACAACTAGAAAATATGAATAAATCAATGGCAAGTAAGGAAATATTAACTGAGTTAATATTCAAGACAGTTGGTTTAAAAGTACAGACCCAGGCCGGGCCGTGGTGGCGCACGCCTTTAATCCCAGCACTCGGGAGGCAGAGGCAGGAGGATCTCTGTGAGTTCGAGACCAGCCTGGTCTACAAGAGCTAGTTCCAGGACAGGCTCCAAAACCACAGAGAAACCCTGTCTCGAAAAACCAAAAAAAAAAAAAAAAAAAAAAAAAAAAGTACAGACCCAGGCCAAATACAATAATGTGTTCTTCTAACACTGGGTATTTCTTGTGACCCTGACCTAGACACATCCTCATATGAAGAAAACCCAGGTGGAAAGTTGGTCTCCCAAAGAACAGGTCTGGGGCAGGAAAGATGGTACTTGACCGAAATACCGTTCTGACGGAAGAGACAAATGCAGATCCACGGTCACAGCTGCACTCCACAGACAAGCTGGATAATGGTACTCTAGATTGCTGATTACACCTTCATGACGTTTTTAGTGCCACTGCAGGATTTTCCATCTTTGTACCAAATATATATATATATATATATATATATATATATATATATATACACACACACACACACACACACACACACCCAGGAAGGTTCTTAAATGATGATATTATTTTTTGCTAAAACCAATGAGTCTTTCAAAAAGTACCCCCTGCCCCCCCGCTCTACAAGACAGGGTTTCTCTGTGTAGTCCTGGCTGTCCTGGAATTCCCTCTGTAGAGCAGACTAAACTCAAGAGATCCAACTTCCCCTGCTGCCTGAGTGCTGGGATTAAAAGCCTGCGCTACCATTTCTTAAAATGGCAGTCTCATGGAATTTTTAAGAGCCCAATTATTGACTAGCAATTTGATTTAATTTCTTTACTTACCAATTACTTACATTTAACATTAGAGAAGTCATAAGTATGTCAGTCAATGTTTGTATCTACATTCATAATTGGTATGGAATGACTGATTATAAGATAACATGTGCTAACATATTGGCACCGGGAATATTCTATGAGTAGATTTAGAAAATTATACCAATAGTATAACTTTATTTTTTATTGTGATTAACATGGTATATTTTATTATACTGACAGTACTCTGTCATTTACTCTATGCCAGCATAATTGAGGCAAATTATTACTTTTTGATATGACAATGCCACTAATGTTTTGATATTACTTTAGTAGGTTATAATATATAGATTAAAATACTGCTATTATTCATATTGCTTTTTATACATTAGAGACATATATTCTTATACATTAGAAACATATATTCTATCTATATATAGAGAGGTGGCAAACTTCTGTTAACTAATATCTACTACATTATTTTTATAAAGGTTACTAAATAATTTGCTTCTCACATGTCTATCTCAAGCTGACCAGAAATTTTGGATTAAAAAATATTTTATATGCAGACAACACTGTATTAATGACAACTGTGTCATGTTTTTGATACATGTTATACCTATTAAGGTAAATCAATAAGCAAAAGTTAAAAACAGTCATAACCATGCAATCACGTGCTACTCTCTCTCATTCTCCTATCTCCCCCCTCCCCATGTAACCCAGGTGACTACATAGCTGAGGACTATCTTGAACTCAGGATACTACTGTCTCCACCCAACATGTACTAGGATTATAGGCATGTGTTAACAGCAGGCTGCAATCACAATTCAAAAACTAATATTTACCTTTTTCACAAACAGATCATCCAATTTCAGTGATCTTCTAGCTCTGTAAACAAAATAGTTAAAGAAATTTTAGATTTGGCATGCTTTATTTTAGGTTGATATTTTAGGATAAAATAGAAATAATTGAGTCCAAGTTATTTTTACCAACTAATTTTTATATTGCTTGTTAAAGATAAATGCCACATGAAAAAATTAATTACGATGATAAATTTGGATATCTTAACATTTTTATTTGATCAGTTTATTTCTAGTAGCATATTTTAACATAGGGTCATAATTAAGCATTCAAATGAACCAGATAGATAGATAGATAGATAGTAGAGAGCGAGAGAGAGAGAAAGCTTATATACACATACTACCATAAAATTTAAATAGTACTGGGTACTGAAACCAGACTTTGTGCTTGTTAGGTAAGAGCCCTACCACTAAGCTATATCCCCAGACTAGTTTTTACTATAGAAAAATTTTAGTAAAAAAATAAGTTGTCTGCATAAAAATATTGAGGAAAAATTATACTTAATAGTAAAATAATCTAAGTATCTTTGATAGAGACAGTGAAAAAAAATCTGCCATTTGCTGGAACCGAGTGCTAAGTGGTGCAGGTATTTGTATGGTAAGGTTTTGCACATTATCCTAGCATCGGACATGATTCAGGGCGAGCAGACTACGACTGATCTGGGGAACAGATGCTGCATGTCTTTACAAGTCCCCAATCCATAAGAAACTATTCTTTGTTTCCTTCACTACACTGATTCAGAAACGTGCCAGGCTCTGTGCGTAAAATCTGTTCTGCTAAATGGGATGCCCAGCTGTTGGTGGCAATGTTTAGAAGGGAAAGTTGAATATTTATAATACTTTATCTGTACAGCTGCCTTCTAAAGAGCAGTCATCAACATTTTATTGATTGCAGACTGAATGCTCAAAGGAGAAAAAGGTCAATATAAATTAAAACTGGCTTTCCAACGCAGTATTAAAAGTACTTCTTGACTTCTGAGACAGAATTACTTCAAGTATTAGAAAATTAGAGCATTTTGTAAAAGATTGTGTTATATTCTGTTTTATAGAACCTCTCCTAAAAATATCGATCTTAGAAAATTGCGAGAGCATTTTTCATTGTTTTTAAATGCTATGACATTAGCTTCTATAAGAACACAAAGCTTGTCCTGATACTGCTCAAAATATTATTGCTACATTATCATCGGCTAATTCTTAGAAAAAGTAATTCTGGGTTCAGATTAGATAAAAAGTAGATCTATAAAGCCAAGGAAATGTTAAACTTTCAAGAAAGTGAGTTAAAATAGGCTGCAATCTATTTATGCTTGTTTAGAACCTAAAGATGGGATTTACTGAAGGTGAGAAGAGTAGCGAGTAAATTGGTAATAAGTAAGAAGATTTAATAGGCAACAGGAGAAAACATCTGAGAAATGACTTAGTTCAGCCTATAGAGAAGTTGTGCAACTTGCTCAATGTTACATGTTCTCAGAGAGGGAATCTCAGATCTATGGTAAGGCATTATGGGCGGGGGGAACTTCTCCCATGCTAAGACACTGGAATTTTTTCTGGACCTCATAGCCAAAGACAGAATTACATCTTGAGGACCGCTATCCTATTGTGTACTCAGCCTGTCTGTTCAGCTTGCAAATGCCTTACATTTCCCATATAATCAACGTTTACAACAAAGCTAATGTATAATTAGAATCTTAAATTATGTACTCTTCCATGCCCCTGCCCCAGAGTAATGCATGTTTGTTCCTATAATCATTTGCTGGAAACAGCACATAGGCTAAAAGCAGTCTTAGGAATGAATATCCACCACAAATGTTGCAAAATAAACAATGATGCTTGTAATGCTGTTTCTTATCTGGGTCATTTGGGGTCAGTAGAAGTCAGTGACTTAAATACCTTATAAAAACTGTTAAAGATTTCTGTGACATATCCCTTATTTCTTCCTCATATGATACTTTTTGTGCTGCTCAACAAATACAAAACAAAGACCTCTATTAGGAACAGACACAGACTCATAAGACAGTCTTTAGGCAGGCACAGATTCAGACTCATAGACAGCGAGGACAGAAGACACTGGATGGTGAAGTGCAGAACTCAAATCGGGTTTGTTATTGATCAGATGACATGAAGGAGATGTGCTTGGATTTCTTTCCTTAAGGCAACACTGATGCATTATTGTGTCTCAAAGTTTATTATTAATGCGTTCACAACTAATCACATAGGTCTTGAATTGAGAGAAAAATTACAGATCACTTAAAGAGCAAACTTACTAGAATTTATGATAATTTATCCTTATCTTTCAATCATAATTGGACACACTGTTATCAATTACGCAGGTATTCCTTCACCCATGAACAACTGATATAAGAGGATGAAATGATGCTAAATGAATTACTCTTGAGTCAAAAGGAACAGAGCAGAAACAGATGATACTTAAGGAAGAACAGGTAAAACTTGACTAGACACAGGGATCTTTCTGGACGTTCTAAAATTGTAACTGGTTCTTAAGGCTATTATCTTTTTAAAAGTAAATAAACCAAACAACAACAACAACAAAACCCCATGCAAACAAATCAGATGCTACATGCCTATAACTGCAACATTCGGGAGGCTGTGGCAGAGGATGCAGAATTTAAGGCCAGGATGGGCTACATAGCAAGACATTGTTGCAAAAGAAAGCAAGGAAGATTAGAAAAAATGGACAAAGGATTTGAACACATATTTCTCCAAAGATACAAAAATGGCCAACAAGCACGTGAAAAGATGGTCAGTAGTTACTAGGGGATCCACATCAGAACCCCGAGGCTCTACATGCTACTAAATACTACTAGTACAATGGCATTAGAGGAAAACAAACAAAATACAAAATAAGCAGTATGGCAAGGATGCAGGGAAGCAAGAACCCAGGCACACTGATGATGAGAACGTAAACCAGCAGAGCACTATTGAAACAATACAGTTTCTCAAAACAGTAAAGACAGAATTACCATATTCAAGGACTCCAACTCCAAAATGAATGGAAACCAGGACATGAATGGGCATGCATAAAACAATGCTCATGGCAGCATTGTTAAGATGGCAGAAGTAGCCCGAGTGGCTGGTGATAGATGAATTAATATACAAAACGTGGTATATACATATGTCGATATTAGTCAGCTTTAAAAGTGAAATATGATTTCAGGCCTGACTACTTTGTTTTGGATAACAAATTATGGAGTGCATCTTTGGGGGAGGCTAATTCTCCTTCACTGGTCACTAGCTGCCTGTAGTAAGCCACATTAGACAGACTGAGCAGTTGTATTTATATGTATGAGTAAGTACCAATAATGACCAAAGAAAAACAGGCTACCAATTTGAAAGGGAGTGAAGGGGGAATAGGAAAAGTTGGGGGGAAGTGGTATATTATATTTTTATTAAAATATTGATAAAAACAAAAAACAATGAAAAAGAACTTTGACACTTATTACAATATAGATGATCCCTGAAGACATTACCTTAAGTAAAATAAGACAGTTACAAAACTGTGAAATTTTTATTCATATGATAGTAGTCAAATTCAGGGACATGATGATCAAATGTGGAGGTTTGTGGGCTAGAGGCAGAAGGAGTGGGTAATTGTCTAATTAGAACACAGTTTTAGTTTCACAAGATGAAGATGGTCTAGAGATAGAGTGCGGTAATGGTTACACAATGGTCTAGATGTATTCTCACATAAGTGTAGTCTCATAACTGCAGGTGACTGCTCATTTTCCATCTTCTCGAATTTCCACCTACTCCCATAGCTTGACTATTTTATCCCATTTTTAATTGTACTAGATTTAGATGTGCTTAACTGCCAGCCTGACTGGACAATCAGTAATGCATACCCCTGGGTTACAATGAAGGCATTCTTAGAACTCACCTTGAACGTGGGAAGCACCACTTCTTAGAGTGCGGGCCCAGATGGGATGAAAAGGACAAAGGAAAGCTGCATACACAGGTGTTTTCTCTTTGATTCCTGCTCACCATGATGTGAGTTACCGCTCCACTATACCTTAGTGCCACGATGGACTGATTCGGTTAAAACTGTGAGCCACAATGGATGTTTCCTTCCTGAAGCTGTTTTGTTCTGCTAACCACAGTTGCTACTAGAATTAATGCTGTTGCGATTTCATATGGACAAATATACTTGGTGTGCAATGTTTTCAGCAGGTAAAGATTGTTTAACATTCTTTACAAATGGTCCATGGCTTTATTTAGTTCAATACATGATAGTATCCTTAAATAGGATTCCCTGCTTCATCATAACAAAATGACTAAAAAAATTTTACTATATAATGTTACTAACATTGTAGTGTGATTTGTAATTGGTGTTAATAATAAAAACCTGGAGTTAAGTATTAGAGGGTGAAAGCTGAAAGATCAGAGAAGCAGAGTAGCCAGCCACTAGAGTTCTTACCTCCTTAAATGCTCAGACTGAAGGGTTATCCACTGAAGGGTTATCCTATCTCTACAAGTCCTCAGACTGAATTGCTCAGACTGAATGCCTTGAGCTCTTGTCTTCTCCCGCCTTATATTCTCCTCTCTGCCCAGCCATATCCCTTCCATCTCCACCTTCCTAGTGCTGGGACTAAAGGTGAACGACTCCCAAACACTGGGATTAAAGGTGTGAGCCACCACAGCCTGGCTCTGTTTCTCTTTGAGATTGGAGCAATCTAGTGTAGCCCAGGGTGGCTTTGAACTCACAGAGATCTGTCTGCCTCTGCCCCTCCCCAAGTGTTGGGATTAGAGGTGTGCACCACCACTGCCTGGCCTCTATGGCTAACTAGTGGCTCACTCTACACTCTGCTCTTCAGGTAAGCTTTATTTGTTAGATGACAAAATATCCCCACATTTAATAATACTAAATAAATGGTTCTAAGGGGAAAAACTATCAAAGATTCTTAGCCAGAAAGGAATGACACCATGGGAGCTCACAAAACTGTATAATGAGATTCTTTTTAATAGAACTTTTAAAATGCTAAACATGGTGTTGAATGGTAGGGTTGAGTGCAGTAG